GGAAAGAGGGACCGGAACCCCTGGGGTCAAAGAGAGGGCCAGACACCCAGCTGCAGAGGAGTGGAGGGGGAGGTGGATGTGGGAGGAGCTGAGCCCTCTCACCGAGGGCAGAAGTGGACAGGTGAGGCCAAGGGTGCTCACAGTTGGAGGCATAGCACCTGCTGGGAAGTCAGGCATCTCAGGTTCTAGTCCCAATTCCGCCACGAACTTGCTGAGTGTCTTTGGGCAATTAGTTTCCCTCTCTGTGCTTCACCTACAGAAAGGGTGGCCCAGGTGATCTCAGAGAAAAATGCTGATGTCTAAGATTCTGAGAATCGAGAACCAGCGTTTCCAAGACAGACAAGAGAAAGCTGAGGATGAGCAGAACTAGAAAGCAGTTCAGAGAGGACACACTCCAGAACTCTTCCTAAGGAAAGGATCACGGGGAGAGCTCTTCCTGCAACAGAAAGGCTAGAATGAAGTCAGACTTCAGGCAGGACGGACAACCAGCCCCACCTTTCTCCCCACCTACTCCCCAAGAGGAGCAGAGAAATTCTCCCACAAGAAGCAAAAGTGCTGCTTTTGCAGTTCCCTGGGTGGAGGGGGCCGCACCCAGTTTGGTCTCATCCCTCTCCACCCTAGACCTGGAGCGAGACCTGCCACAATGCCCTTGGACACAGCCAGGGTGGACGTGGGCGAGACAGACGCGGGCCCTGCCCATGCACCCTGGACAGAGACGGGCAGAGCCAGACACAGGGCGGTTTTCTGAATTGAATGGGGGGCCTTTGTTTAACAGCAGCACGCTCTATTCTTGGCAACACGGGAGGAAGAAGCCAGCTCAGAGAACATAGGACAGGGTGGGGGACAGTGCAAGGGACAGGAAGAGAAGACAGGGCCCAGGAGAGGGTGTGCCAAGGACCCTTCCCCCACTGGCCCACTCTGTGGAGGAGTCTTTGAGCAAGGAATGAGGCTACTCTAGCATACTCTGCCCTTAATTCCTCTTCCTCATTGGCCTGGCCAACCCAGCAGGCTGGCCCTGGACATCCTAAAATCCAAGCCTGTCCCGGCAGAGTGCAGCCTATTCCCATTAAAAATAACTCCCATCAAAGCTACATCAGACTCCTGCCCCCGCCAGCACCCGCGGTCAGTGACGGGCATAGCTGGGCTGGGCTACCGGACACCAAGCATCAATGACATACCTGGAAACAAAGACAGGAATGGGTTGCCCAGAGGGGTCCTGGGACCAGGCTTAGAAACATTGCTTTTGAGGACTTCAAGAGCAGGCTGGGCAGGGCCCCCAGAGGTTCCTTGGGCCAGAAGCCAGAGACTCGTGCAGACTCAGATCAATGGCTCAAACAGTGACAGAGAAGTGAGCTGTGGGCAGGGCGGGGAGAGCAGGGGAGTCAGGGGAGGGGCTCCAGCCTCACCACTCACTGGCTGTGTGTCCTTGGGCATGTCACGCCTTTTCCTTAAGCCTCATACTCCTATAAAGTGGAAGTGATATGCCACTTCTTTCTTCAGCCCGTAGTGTGGATCGAATACAACCCTGACTATGGAAGCCTGCTGTGGACAGGAAAGGCCCAGGCAAGCATCCTTCTATTAAAGATGCAAAGAAATGGCAGAAGAGGCCAGCACAGATGGGGCTGGCAAGGTAGCCAGCAGCCAGCCTGCTCTTCGGGACCCAGGACCCAGGCTTCTTTTCCCAAAGCCCTTAGATGAGGGCTGAGAGGGGCGCTGCGGGGGCGGGGTAGGGCATGGCTGGGGAAGAGGGGCTATGTCTGTCTGGGTCCTGAGGGGAGGCCAGGCGGTGACATTGTGCAGCTCCCCCTCCCCAGTCACATGTGCTGCCTTCTGCAGCCAGGGCGGTCAGGCCAGTCAGGCATGGACATTCCCCACATAGCAGCCCCAAGGGAGAGGCTGGGCTCAGCAGGGTCACCAGCCGCCACCCTTTCCCAGTCTGTCTCTGTCTCCAACTGAGATTTGGCCAGCAGCACCAGTGGAAACAGACTCCAGAAAAGTACAGAGACGGACATGACTGCTTCACTTGAGAGCCCTGTCTCCATCACACTGGTCATTCCAAGTGGGCAACAACTGAATGGGCGTTAGGTATGGCCAGGGCCCTTGGAATGAGAGAAGACAGAAACCCATCCTGAGCTTCTGGAGGAAAACCCTCACTTCCGGTCTGGAGGAAAACCAAGCAGTGGCCCAAGGACTGGCCGGGAGTGGGGAAGGCTCGGGTCAGGATGCCCCAGCTGTTTGTTTTCTTCCTTCTGGGCTCCTTCCCAAAGCAAACAAAGTAGGGTGGGAAAATGAA